CCGTTTGCTTGAACTCAAGGGGCCCCTGCGGTCAAAGGGGTGCTTTCAAGCTGTACACACTATACAGACACACTCTACGCGCACTGCAAAATGGGTCGGTTTCACACAATCATTGAGGCTTCCAAAGGTCCCCGTTGCTCTCGCACTCTGCCGGTAAAGCTCAGGAACCCTCCTAGGTTTGACCAGGTCCTGCAATCCTTTGCCTGCATCCTAAACTCTGAACCCATTTAACCCAGACCCTGAACCCCAAACCCTGAACCGAACAACCGTTGCTCGCTAAACTCGACAGTCTCTGGCCTGCATCTTCCCGGCATCGCCCGAGACTGTGAACCGACGGCGATTTCAGGTTACAGCACTGACAGGCATATTGTCATCGTCGCACGGGCCGGGCGTCTCCTCTCGGCGCAAGCGACATGCCTCGGATCAAGATGCTGCTTAGGGTTTGGGGCCTTGTAAAGGAACGGGTTGAGGCTCTAAGGGTGCCCCTAGAAAGCTTTGGCCCTGCCCTGGACCCCATTTCAGTGTTCTCCGCATAGTGGCTTGGGATCGGTTTAGGCTTCAGGGTCCATAGAGTTTGGGATTTGGGCCCGAGTTGGTTGGGGCTGAGGGTTTAGGGGACATCCAACTTCCTACGCAAGAGGCCTTTCCGGTAAACCAGCCGTCTCGAAACCTCAACCTCACACTGCCCGAGCACGCATCCCTCTGCATCCGGTAGCCGTTGTAGAGGTTAGACAAATTTGTTCCGCCTGTATCCTTCCAAGCACCTTCAGATCGAACGAAGTCTTCGGGAAAACAGGTCCGGCCGTCATATTGGAACCTCGCTAGATCTGATCCGTATGGAGTACCGAGGAATGCCGGACACGATTCAATGCAAACAGTCGAGTCTGTTGTGAGTAATATGCAGGAACCTGGTTAAGACTCACGGCCTCGTGCTCGGGCTCTCAATATGTGGCTCCTTCGTATCATTATGAGGGTTCAGCGTTTAAGGCTTGACCTTGAACGGCCCCTAGAGCTAGACCCCTGAATCTTCCTCAATGTCCCTAAATCCCGTATGAAGAGCCACCAGTCCTTCAGCACGTGGGCGGGCCGAAGCGGCAATAGCTGCCGCCCATGGCGAGCCCAGATGCACCCTAAACCCTAAACTGTATCTCGTATAGTCCTATAGGCTTGCAGGAGTTTTTGGCTTCGAATGGCTGGGTTGCAAACAACAGCCTGTACAACTTTACGGGTCGGAAACCGAAACCTGGGCTTCAACTCTCTAAAGGGTAAAACCTAATAACTATAGATCCCGAACCCACAACTCCCTACAAAAAGCTGGCACATGCTAACTTGCGCCGGCACTCACACTGGAGCGGACTGTCTTGTCCAGAACCTCTAAAGCGTCATTGGGTCTTGGTCGAGGGCACAGGCACAACATGGAAAATGATGGACCACTTGAAACAAAATCCAAGTTTCCGCCCCTGGCAGCTTTGCTTCGCGGGCATGGGTCTTGCTGATACCGTCCCTGAACCCTAGCTGGAAGCTGTTAAACTGTGAGAACACCCTGATCAAAAGCAGGAAGACCAACATCGAAGGCTCCAGGTAGGTGGACACTACTGGGCGCCAATCCCACCCCAAGGTTTCCCCTCACCCAGCGTAGAGTAAAGCCCGCCAAGACTGCCCGCTTCGTGATCAAGCTACACTGTAAAGGCAACGTCAGAAAGACATCATTCCTTAGCCCCCCCAGACCGCGTCGGAAGCTCTAAATCCAGAAAACTGAACTCCGAATCCCGACATCCGGAAGGCGCAGTCCCAACTCCGACATGTTTTGCAGTCTCGCGAGCGCTTTGTTCGCAACCGCTGCATGTCGGATGATCGGAGTGCTCCGGCGGCCAACCGGCCCTGCAGGGCCGCCGACCAGCAGGGCCGAAAACTCTGGAAAGCTTGAAATCTGAACAGATCGGTGCCGTGAGCCCTCACTCAGGTTTTCTTCTCGGGAGTTCTTCGCTGACCTCGGCTCAGACTTCTTCGCAGACAAATTAGCACAAACACACAAAAAAACAGCCGAGGCACGCGCTTCGTCTCAGGGCAGGGGTGGAAGCCCGCACTCCGTCGCCACCTTCCGAGCCTGCAGCGGATCACGCACACGGCGCTCTCTTTCTCTGCTCTCGAGGGCCCCCGCCTCGGCCACGGAGACCTCGCGCTCGAAATTGCCGTCCATGAAGAGCCAGGCCTGGGTGCGTTTGGCGCTGAGCCGCACTGCGCGGCCCTTGTCCTCGCCCTGGTCGTAGAAGCCGACCTGCACGGTGCCGTCCGCGAACGTGAACGTTGCCTTCCCGTGCCGTTTGCCATCCTGGTGCTCCCCGACGAAGACCTCGCCGCTCGCATACGTGAACGTTCCCTTCCCGTGCTGCTGGCCGTTCTGGTACTCCCCGACGAAGACATGGCCGTCCGCAGCCGTGTACGTTCCCTTTCCGTGATGCAGGCCATCCTTCCACTCCCCCTCGTAGACGGCGCCGTCCGGCCAGGTGCACCGAGCGCGGCCCTGCAGCCTGCCGCTGTCGTCGACGCGCAGCTCCCCGTCGCCCTCCAAGGGCTCGAACCACGTTGAGACCATCTCCACCTCGTCTTTGATGCCCTCCTCCTCCCACTGCTTTTTGGCCCTCTCCACCGCTAGGGCCAGATACAGCTCTGCCAGGTTGCTGCCTCCTCGAGGTATGGTGGTCGGAAAGGCAAAAAGGCCTATGCATGGGATTCGCCAGTTTGTCCCCATTTCCTCCTCCGCGATCTGCATGTCGGACTTCTCCCGGGCCACGCCCTGCTGGATCTGGAGCACGAAACCCCTCTTCTCGCGCTGGATCCTGGTTAAGTTTTCGCAGAACGTGCGCAGCCACCTGTCATCGGCCTTGTCCCCGTAGCGCTCCTTGCGGGTGAGGGTGAGAGGGGAAGAGAGAGAGAGAGAGAGAGGCCTACAACAGAGCCCGCTGAAGCCGTTTCAACCCAGCATGCTCAAACACGGGAAGGGCCTGGCAGCAAGTGAGTCTCTAAACTCTTCGAGCCTTTCCTTTCTGCCAGAAGGACCCCGAGCGCGCCTTGTTGTCGGTGTTCGGGTTGTACACTGTACAACCCAGCTCTTCGAGAACTTCTTTGATGCCTATGGAAACCGTGTACCACGGTTCTTCGAACTTTGTGGAGAGGACGACGTGCGGGGCGTTCGGGCCTCTCTCGGGCAGTCTCTTCCTCGCCGGCCAAGTGGTTGGCCGACTCCACCCCGCTACCTTGTCGTAGCTTGCCCTGGCGGCACCGGCCATGGGCTCGATAAGGGGGGAGCGAGCTGGCAGCAGGGGTGATCTTTCGAGCCTCGCCCTCGAAAAGTGTCCACACTCTCTGCACTGAACAGGCAAAGCACCAGAAATCCTCGGCAACGGCCCTTCGTTTTTGCACTTCAGACGCATGGGCTGCGGCCATGCTGGCTCTCTCGCCGGCTTAGACCGGGTTCTCCACTGCTCGTGCTGATTCAAAGCTTATGTCAGTGTGCGGACGAGCAGCTTCAGCCGTGCAAGCTGCCGCGCCCAGCGCCCAGGCGAAGTCCTAGGCACTTTCAAGTGCCGGAAAGTCTCTAAACTCCAAACACCCTCATCTGCACAACTTGTGCAACCTGCGTCGGGCTGAGGCCTCCGCGGACAGGCCCACGTCGATCTTGGAAGAGATGACCGCAACAGCGAAGTGAAGCCGCGTCACACTCTTCGACACCATTGCACTTCGCCTCGAGAAGCGATCCTCCTCCGGGACCGAAGGAAGCCTCGAGCCTCACAGGAGTCTTACAGCTTATTAACTTCGGCAAAGTGACACAGTGCACACAGCGAGCCACTCATGCCATCCAAGGCACACACACGCCCACCAAGGACAGGAAAGGAGCAGGTTGGCAAACTCCGCGGTGCTGAAATAGATATCACCGGTCTCATCTGTCATCTTGAAGCTTCGGAGTGAGGACTGCGAATCCCTGCAAGCGTCTCTTCGGCTCACATCCACGCGAAATCAGCTCTCTCTAAAGGGCATCGGGCTGAGAATGCAAGATCGCAACAAACGTCGCGTTTAGCATAAATTCGGAATATAATTCGGGTTCTGGGGGCTTTGCGTTCCGGTTGTGTGGGTTACGTACAGATGCCCGTATAGCGGACTTTGGAGGGCTTGGGAAGCTTTATGTGACATGGCGATTTTTGGCAGCTTTGCAATGAGGCGTTCAGGGTCCCTGGCTTTCGGGGCTGTGGCCTTCGGCGTTTGAGGTTTGATGGGCTGTCGGGTTTGGGGATACGGTCTGGAACAAACTTCCAGAAACGACGACAAAAAACATGTAGGCTGGTCTGTAGGAATGGAACCGTATAACAGAATCCGTTCTTGAGCCTGCACACAACTCTCGCAATTCTGCGTGTCCTCAACCTACATGCCCTGAGACGTCATAGCCACCATAGCCAGCTTTTAAGCCCTTAAAGCCGAAAAGAACCGCAAGCCGCAGCCCGAAACATCCCCGCCTGGCTCCGAAGGGAGCGACTCACGGCCCTGGGTCGTCCATCTTCAAGGAGCCTCGGAGAATGCTGTCAGTTTAAATTTCCGGTGTTTGGAGAGAGAAGCAAGCGAGTCGCTTTTACGGTCCAACTTCTGAGTTCCATGGGTCCCCTGCATTGCACGCGTTGAGGTTCCGGCTTTCAGTTTTGGGGCTTGGGTCTCGGAGCTTGGGCTTGAAGTCTGGGCGGTCTGGAGGCTGAGTTGAGGGTCCTACTGTGCCGTCGGCCCATCTTTACGGGGCTTTGCGCTTGGGAGATGCCGGGGAACGTGGTGAAGGTTTCAGGAGAATGCTTTGTCTCCAAAGAGTCCAGGGCTTATAGGGTTTAGTTTAAGGGTTCAGGCTCATAGCAGGAGATGTGGTTTTGATACACGGAACATGCCGTAGCAGCAGGGGGCCTTGGAAGATCTGGGGTGGTCTTTCGGGTCAAGGGTTCCACCATCGACAGACTAGACAGGGCTTCTAACCCCTCGAGCCAAACTCATACAAACATTCCTGCAGTCCTGTTGGGCTGCTGCAGAAGCCTGGTGCAACTTTGTAAGGCCTCAATGAAGCCTACAGCCGTAAGGTCCTACCGACCTCCTGAAGCCTGAAGTGTCACTAAACCTGGAACCCAAACCGGAGACCCCAAACGCTGTAACCCTTAACCCGGAAGCCTTAAACCCACCGAGAAAAAAAGCCTGGCCACACACTTTCGCGTCCAGAAGCCCTTTGCCTGGCGGTTCCGAAGTCTACACTGATGCAAAGTATAAGGGCAATTGTTAAAATCAGGTTTGCCGGCTTTAGTGCGCTGCCTCGCAAGCCTGAGGACTTGTATGGCATAGCAACACTAGTGGTTCCAGACCTCTCCCGGTATTTAGGGTGCCTTGTTCGTTGCATTTTCTTCAGGTGGCCCGGACCCTGTAGGAATTGGGATGGCATCATGGGGTTATTAAGCCAGGGGTTCAAGCACTTGCGCTTAGGATTCAGGGTGCAGGCTTTGGGGTTTACTGGCCGTTCGCAGCTTTGGTGTTTAGGGGCGGAACACAATAGGATCAGCAGGAGTCGTTTTCTGTTTAACTCAACTCAAAGCAATGCAGCCTCGATGGAAGTTCAGTTGCTGACCCGTACACCCCAGACCCAAAGCCACTGGACCCGTAATCCCGAGACCCTAAACCCCAAACCTCGAAC